ATAATTCATGCTATACAAGAGGTTGGGTTCCAGCCCAATGGTTCACACACCTTATAATCCCCATCCTAAAGCCAGGAAAGCACTTTGATGACCCCAACGGTCTCAGACCAATCGCTTTAGCTTCTACCCTAGCCAAAATATTTGAGCGTTTAATAAAAAACAGATTAGAATGGATAGTAGAATCCAGAGATCTACTCTCCTCATCACAGTTTGGTTTTAGGAAGAGTCTTGGTACCACGGACAGTGTAGGGACCCTTATTGCTGATATTCACATAGCTCTATCTAAAAAGGAATCTGTCGCTGCAGCTTTCCTAGATATTTCCTCGGCGTATGATAGTGTTATTCTTCCCCTTCTCAGGCAGAAACTGCAACAGCTGAGACTTCCGGCGAGGATGATACAGTGCATATACAGCCTACTGATGGATCGAACATTGATTTTGAGAGTCCAGGGTGAAGATTTTCTTCATAGGAAGACATGGAAAGGCCTTGCTCAAGGCTCTGTCTTAAGTCCTCTCCTGTACAATCTCTATACGGCTAACATAGGTTCATGTTTAAACAATGACTGCCATATCTTGCAATACGCTGACGACATTGCGCTTTACGTTGTCGAGAAAACTATAGAGAATGCAGCTGCCTCCCTTTCTGTTTCCCTGGGATCTCTGAACCAATGGCTGACAAAACACGGGCTATCGTCAGCGTCAGCAACAAAAAGCAACATAGTGATCTTCTCGCGTAAAAAAAACTACCCTCAAATTTCCCTCAACATCGAAAACCAAGCCATTCCAATAAGTCCCAAAGCGAAATTTCTGGGCGTTTATCTGGATCAGAAATTATCTGGTACCTATCACATCAACTTCCAAGTAGAAAGATGTGAAAGAATTGTCCCAATTTTTAAAGCCTTAACTGGCGTTTGGTGGGGTGCACATCCATTTACAATGAAACTGATGTACAATGCATTAACCCATAGCATTATTGATTATGGCACATTTCTACTGATACCGTGTAATAAGGGAGCTCTGTCCAGATTGGATAGAACTCAAGCTAGGTTCTTGCGAATTATCACGGGCTGCATGAAGTCTTCTCCTGTTAACGCTCTGCAGGTGGAAAGCGCAGATCCACCACTTGCTCTAAGAAGACAATATTTGGCTTCTAGATTCCTCTCTCGCGTATTTCTCAAATCCACCCATCCACTCTTAAGGAAATTACCCGAATTGGATCACCTCTGCACTGTCTCAAACTTCTGGAAAAATAGGGAAATCCCTCTAATCATAAAAGCGTACCGTATATTCAACAATCTAGAAGCTCCCATCATTGAATGTGAAAGACTCCCTATGTTTAATATAAGCTATGAAGTCTTATGTTTCAAACCATTAATCGCATACGACATTGGTATTTCGAAAAGTTCACCTCACGCAGAACTTATTTTTACGACCAAGATAAACGAACGATGGGCAGGGTTTCAAAGGTTCTTTACAGATGCTTCAAAACTTTCGGATACAGGTTATATTGGGGCAGCTGTCTACCACCAAGATTCACAAATAATTTTAAAACTTAAATGTCCAATACAATCTTCTGTGTTTACAGGCGAGTGCGTAGCGATATTAGAGGCTTGCCAGTTTATAGATACGCACAACATAGAAAAGGCAGTAATTTTTACCGATTCGCTGAGCAGCTTGCAAGCTCTAGAACAACATCCATTACAAAGCAAGTTAAATAGTTTTATAGTCTTAAACATCAAACAGTCTCTCTTTAACTCTGCCAAAAAGGGCAAAATCGTACAGCTTGTTTGGATCCCAAGCCATTCAGGTATAAAAGGCAATGATTGTGCTGATATTTCTGACAAAAGTGCGGTTTCATCGGAGGTCGCAGACAGGAAATATATTTGCCTCCAAACTTACGACCTCTTAAACCTGCCTAAAAAGGAATTACTGACTTCTTGGCAGTCGTACAGACATAACTTGGTGAAAAAGAAAGGCAAATTCTACTACGCTATCCAACCGATCGTAAATATTAGACCCTGGTTCTTTAAATATAAGAAATCGTCCAAAACTGCCGTATCAGTCCTATGCCGTATGCGCATAGGACATTGTTGTTCGCCCATTTTCCTACATAAAATTCGTGTTCGGGACTCTTCTCTTTGCGAATGTGGCTTAGACGAAGGCACCCTGGAACACATTTTCTTCAGCTGTTCCAAAAATCTCCCTTCTCTTGACTTATACGACCGTCTCGCAGAGTTAAAAATCCCGCTCCCGATCAACATGGCTTCCCTTCTCACCTATTTTACTCCTAAACTTGCCAGGACATTGATGAATTTTATCCATTGTAATTCCATAAAACTATGACAATTTTAATTAATCATATACATGTATATTGTAGTGTAATAAAATTTAATAAATTCTCTCTTTACCAAGCATTTATATATTTGAGATTTGTAAATTTGTAAAAAATACTCAATTTTTTTTACTAGAAGAGAAAACATTCCTTCAAAATATACATCGAGACACAAGAAAAACCTAATGGTTCCAACTACTCGCCTTAAATTATGCTCATCGAGCACTTATAATATGTCTATAACAATCTATAATAAATTACCTGAAAATTTTAAAAAATGAAGAAAATTACAATGTTTTTATTAAAAAAATTAAGTTAATGTTATTGAATAAATGCTATTATAGCCTCCTGGAATACCTAAATGATAAAAGTACTATGGAATAAATATAACAAATACAATATTATTTTTATTATAAAAAGATATAATACAATACTTACATAATTAATAATCGTACATAAATCATAAATCTAATTATACAATATCTTATTGGAGTAGTATGAATAAATAATTTTTATGGGTTTTAATTCATTGGATATAACAAATTATATCACAATAAGGAATTATGAATAAGACGTCCTCTCCTCTTGCAATTGCGATACCCTACACTACAGGGTCCATAATGCACTTTTGTCTATATGTTACCACCTTTGTATCTCTATTATGGTCTGCAATAAATGAATTGAATTGAATTAATGTTCTAATGCTTAATATATATAAGAGCTTAACTTATAGATTAGTTTTGTGTCTTTATTTCAGCATACTAACCAATACGTCCAAGAAGGATAAACACATCCAGTTTCAATGTCATCGCTGGATAAACTATAGATTTCTATTACAGGTTTCTGCACAAATCGACCAAACACATGCTTGGTCATCACTTATGATATTGGCAGAATTGTCGACATTGGCATCGACACAGTTGCCATTAAAAAGAATAAAATAGAATACTTAATCTGTGGTCCTTAACTCCGCGGTTTTTTACCTGTCAGAAAAGTTTCTTTTCCTTTTCGACTCCGGCTGAAATGTGTGCTGTTTGCGAGATTCTGGATATGAGAGCTAAGTATCTTCCCCGAGTCAATTAATTACTATTTATTGTTCATGTGATGTGTATCATATGATTTCACGTGTCGATTGGTCAGTCGGAAGAAAGACTTACCTATATTAAGAGCAGTACAATTGTAACATAGATCGGCAATTGTACTGGCGAACGCTCGAGGGCGTTGCGCGGGATGTTAGTCTAGTGCACTTGACTGAATATACAAGGAGGCCAAGATGAGTGTGTGCGAGGGCTGCTCGGCACACCTTGGCTCCACGATGAACAAAGGAGACCAAGAGAGTGTGTGCGAGGGCTGCTCGACACACCTTGGCTTCATGATCAAAGGCTTATGATAATCATACAGGATACGCTGAAAGTTTCCTATGCCAATCATGAAATGTTATGTAAAATGAGTAGAAAATCGACGTGAATGCATATGTGAATATTGATGTGTGTGTGTACATATAATGTATAGGTATTAACCATGGCGAGGAAGATGCTTAGTGTCTCAACTCAGAGATTCATAGTATAATTTCTTTATACAGGTTCCTTGATGATCATGACAATTAACGATGGGAATAAATTGAACCAAGCGAAGCAGATATCTATACAGAATAAGGTATGAAACTTTAATATAACCTGCACTAGTATAGTAACATGTTTAAATTATTCAATGCCGAAAGTATGAATAATCGCAGTCTGTCTCAGTCCATTGTACACCCTGTTGGTGTGGGTTGTAGGCAGACGATGAGACATGTTTGGTTTCTGGTTGAACCTCTAAAGAATGTGTCAGTTTTTGGTAGTAGTTAATATACTTCATTGCACTAGGTGTAAAGATAGAATAAGACAACCATACAGAATGCCCACATGGTCTCTACGCGACATCTATGGTATATATCTTTCAACCATAATCAACTACCATTGTAAATTACTGTAGTAAAGACAGTAGTATTTAACACTTTTTTATATAAGCTCGGGTAGACGTGATTAGTATTTAACTTATTAACGTATGATAATTAAACTTTGCTTATTTCGGACAAAGTGATCGACTTGTTCGGAATGGCTTTTTATTATTAATTGGATGATACGAGATTGAAACATAAAGTATACTTTTTACTATTTACATGTTTAACATACATAGTTACCTTATTATCACAATAAAAAGTTATACATGCCTTCAATATGAGTTAAGGAAAAAAATACATACCTACAACATTTGCCTCAGCAACTTTCGAAATCATCTCGAACTTTTTGTAGTAAAATCGACAGGGTTTATCGATAAAATGGCAAGGTACAAAAAAAAGACATGTAAATTTAAATTTAGGAACTCCAGCGACAGGAACTCGGTCTTCCTCTCTGTGTTCCTTTACATCTTCTATTAACGATTTCAAAGAATAAAAAAAACTCATGATAAGGCTATATAGGAATACTATCGTATGCCTTCCAGAACAAGAAGAATATTACAAAAACCATTTGACAGTTGACAATAAAATTGACATTGACACTCACATGGGCGACTGACAGCAAGACAGCTGATGCTGTTTATTTGACAGAAGTGGTTAACTGATATAGTTTTAGTCCAACCTGTTCAAGATTCAATTTCAAATCAAATCAATGTCTAGCTGTCTAATATGGTTAATATGATCTTATAATAATAAAGATGATTCCAATGGAGATAACACGTAAAACTCGTGTACTTTTGAGAAAATATCTCTTTAGCCTGCACCGGCACCCAGTTCGAAGTTTTTGCGAAAAGGTAGGTAATTTGGTCACGAACAGGGGCAGTATCTCGATAGTGGCTTAATCGTAAACAAACCTGGTACTTAGTCCACATTAATAAGTTTGGTTTATGTGGTAGAGCTCCAAAGAGACGGCGAGCAGGGAGGAATGGCCCAGGCGCGTGGTAACGGGCGTGCAGCCTACGGGCGCGCTGCACATCGGCAACTACTTCGGCGCGGTGCGGCGGTGCGTTCGGCTCTTAGACCAGGGCGAGGATCTTACTGTGTTTATAGCTGACCTACACTCACTCACAGTTCGTCAGGTTAATATTTATTATGATACAGTTTGAAACCTATATGTAATATTTTTTTGCATAATTCCACACTACACTTACATCTCATGAATTAAATCATTTATTGTTTGTAAAGAATACTGGCAGGTTGCCGGTTTATTCAATCAAAATAAAAATGTTTATTCAGTCAGCTATTACAAGCAGTTGTGAAGATGAGAAAGCTATGACATCAGTTCACAAAACGATATATATTCTAATACCCACTGCTACTTGTATGAATTTAGTTTAAGTGATGATTGTGATGATTTCAACTCGGGACAGCTTGAAAGGACCTGCATCCTTTGAGGCAGCTGTTTTCAGTTGTTTTTGTAGATCACTACATTATATCCAACATCTCCTAGAAGAAAGCGATTGAATTGCAAGCTCAATACAAATTTACAAACTAATAGACTGTGTTTATACACGAGTTTCTTTTTTATATCAAATTTTATTTATATAAGGTTCGGCCAAGTTTGTTGTATTTGGTCAAAGGAGATTAACCAAATAGGCTCCAGCTACAGTGCTTAAGAAATATAATTCAGATTTTAATATTAAGAGTCAAATTATTAAAAGTGTCCTAAAGTTTTGCTTTTGCTAAATTTGGATGAATGCATATTTTGTTTTTTACCTGTAGAAGTTTTATAGGAGCTGAAGGTTAAAAAGTCACCACAAATTACAGTGGACATTTACTAGGTTAATATTATATAAAAGCTAAAACATGATTTTCAGTCTTAAACTCTGAAAAGGTATAGAGTAAATATACAAAATGAGTGCTAATTAGAAAGAAGTACAAAACTAAAGCTAAACTTCATATAGAATTATAAAGGAGCGAAGTTTCTTTATTCAGTGTATTTTTTAAACCTAGCATCTATAAAATTCTACTAGTATAGAAGCTATGTTAACTGAAATATGAATTTAGCAATAGTGAAATTCAGGAGCTTTTTAATATTTTTACATTAAAATATGAGTTTGCATCTCTTTGGCTCCAGAAGTGGGGTAACTTTTCTATGGGATTTGGCAGATCTCCTTTTAAAAAATAAGTACCTAGTGTACAAACTACAATTTGTTGTTTGTGTGGTGATATTTTGATGTTTATAATAAATTGGTGCACTCGGAGAATGATGGATTATCAGCATATAAAATCTGTACTGCATGGGCACCACACAGGCCCAGTGTGTTTTGGCTAAGATAATAAATTTTTGGTCACCCATCTGATGATCAGCCATTGCAAAACTTCTGTAGTCGTAGATCGATAATGATTATCATTGTGCTTAAATGTTAAATAAATTAAATCTAAAAAAAAATGTTGTAAAGAAAAATTCACTCTGTCAGGCAGGATTTGAACCTATTCAGCTATCCTGGCAAATGCACTAACAACTGCTATGTTAGAGAGACTGTGTTTAATTTCTTCTAGTATTTGTTAGGTTACAAACCAGTGCCATCCTCGCGTTGTAGGTACACCACAATGTCAAATGACATAATTTTACAAGGTTAATAATTAAATATTTTTATTAATGTAAGTGTAATGTAATGGTCAATAAATCTTTTGACGTGACAACGTCTTAAATTAGGTTGCGGCTGGGAGTCACTTATGAAAAAGTGTAACGCTCGGTAACGTTACGATGAGTCTCTCGTGTTAAGTTTAAGTTTACATGTACAATGTTTTAGTAAACAAAATATATTTCTATAGTTAAAATTTGTGCAATTCTTATTTTCATTCAATTCCTTGTTCCTATTGTGCAATTTAATTATATTCATATCAATAAATATTCTACCGAGAAAAAGACGTTGTCACGTAAAATCTTCGCCCGTAAAACCGACTTTACAGGCAACCATTTTTTTTCATAATTACTACTGACATTGTTGAGGGCGGCATCCTATTCTTACTTTTCTACTAATGTTATAAAATAAGTGTTTCTTATTCAATCACGCATAAACTGATGAACAATTTTCAATGAAATTTGGTATGCATACAGTTTACGACCTGGATTGAGGCGGGATACTTTTCATCCCGGAAAAATAGCCGCTCTAGTGTAGCCATAAAAATAGGCCAATCGTTCCCTGCGATAGGATGCGAGTGTATTACAACGCAACACGTTGGAGCTGGCGGCGTACTTGATAGCGAGCGGGTTGGAGCCGGCGCGCTGCGTGGTGTTCCAGCAGTCGGCGGTGCCGCGTCACGCGGAGCTGTGCTGGGCGCTGGCCTGCGTGGCCACGCTGGCGCGCCTCTCCCACTTGCCGCAGTACAAGGAGAAGGCCAAGCTGTATAAGGAGGTGCCCGTCGGACTTCTGCTCTACCCCGTTCTACAGGTATGTTTTATTATCAAACAAGAAGGCCGATGTGATTCAATGTTCTGAATAAAGATACTGTTATTTTAATTAATGTAGTATAGTTTTAAGCTTTTTATCAATGTTGCATTTACGATACACGTCAATTGCTGTTGTAGCCCTTAGAAATTTATAGATGCTTTACCTCCGTGGCCGAGCGATATATACTCTGGGGTTCGAATCCCGGTGGGGTTGCCCCCACCTTGTTAGTATAATGGTATGTATTAGTCTATGTTTTCATACGTTACCCTAGTATCCCATAATACAAGTCTTGCAGTGCTTTGCCGACTTTGGGGCTAGGCTAATTGGTGTGAGTGTGGGAAATATTAAATATTATTATTTTAGTCACTTGAAAATCAGTAGTGTTGAAAGCAATTTTCCATTTTTTGTGGCGTAAAAACGTGAACGCGTTAATGAGCTAGAAGAATAGCAGATTTTATTGGTATATGTCAATTATGCTTCCCCCTTTTAGCTTTACTTGATATCTTAAAGCATTTTTTTTGTATAAACAAAGAATAATGTTGTATAAGGGTTTGCTTCAGTCTCTGTAGTTTCTCGGCTTCTGTGAATAAATCACCAATCGAGGCATTACATTGACCAGGCGGCGGACGTGCTGGTGTACGGCGGAACGCACGTGCCGGTGGGCCGCGACCAGTTACAGCACTTGCAGCTGGCGGCCCAACTAGTGCGCTCCTTCAACCACCGGTACGGGGCGGCCCTGCCCGCGCCCCAGCCCCTGCTGCCAGGTGACCGCCACCATGACGCCTGCCTGTCATGTGACGCGACCAGTTACAGCACGCGACAGCTGGCGGCCCAACTAGTGCGCTCCTTCAACCACCGGTACGGGGCGGCCCTGCCCGCGCCCCAGCCCCTGCTGCCAGGTGACCGCCACCATGACGCCTGCCTGTCATGTGACGCGACCAGTTACAGCACGCGACAGCTGGCGGCCCAACTAGTGCGCTCCTTCAACCACCGGTACGGGGCGGCCCTGCCCGCGCCCCAGCCCCTGCTGCCAGGTGACCGCCACCATGACGCCTGCCTGTCATGTGACGCGACCAGTTACAGCACGCGACAGCTGGCGGCCCAACTAGTGCGCTCCTTCAACCACCGGTACGGGGCGGCCCTGCCCGCGCCCCAGCCCCTGCTGCCAGGTGACCGCCACCATGACGCCTGCCTGTCATGTGACGCGACCAGTTACAGCACGCGACAGCTGGCGGCCCAACTAGTGCGCTCCTTCAACCACCGGTACGGGGCGGCCCTGCCCGCGCCCCAGCCCCTGCTGCCAGGTGACCGCCACCATGACGCCTGCCTGTCATGTGACGCGACCAGTTACAGCACGCGACAGCTGGCGGCCCAACTAGTGCGCTCCTTCAACCACCGGTACGGGGCGGCCCTGCCCGCGCCCCAGCCCCTGCTGCCAGGTGACCGCCACCATGACGCCTGCCTGTCATGTGACGCGACCAGTTACAGCACGCGACAGCTGGCGGCCCAACTAGTGCGCTCCTTCAACCACCGGTACGGGGCGGCCCTGCCCGCGCCCCAGCCCCTGCTGCCAGGTGACCGCCACCATGACGCCTGCCTGTCATGTGACGCGACCAGTTACAGCACGCGACAGCTGGCGGCCCAACTAGTGCGCTCCTTCAACCACCGGTACGGGGCGGCCCTGCCCGCGCCCCAGCCCCTGCTGCCAGGTGACCGCCACCATGACGCCTGCCTGTCATGTGACGCGACCAGTTACAGCACGCGACAGCTGGCGGCCCAACTAGTGCGCTCCTTCAACCACCGGTACGGGGCGGCCCTGCCCGCGCCCCAGCCCCTGCTGCCAGGTGACCGCCACCATGACGCCTGCCTGTCATGTGACGCGACCAGTTACAGCACGCGACAGCTGGCGGCCCAACTAGTGCGCTCCTTCAACCACCGGTACGGGGCGGCCCTGCCCGCGCCCCAGCCCCTGCTGCCAGGTGACCGCCACCATGACGCCTGCCTGTCATGTGACGCGACCAGTTACAGCACGCGACAGCTGGCGGCCCAACTAGTGCGCTCCTTCAACCACCGGTACGGGGCGGCCCTGCCCGCGCCCCAGCCCCTGCTGCCAGGTGACCGCCACCATGACGCCTGCCTGTCATGTGACGCGACCAGTTACAGCACGCGACAGCTGGCGGCCCAACTAGTGCGCTCCTTCAACCACCGGTACGGGGCGGCCCTGCCCGCGCCCCAGCCCCTGCTGCCAGGTGACCGCCACCATGACGCCTGCCTGTCATGTGACGCGACCAGTTACAGCACGCGACAGCTGGCGGCCCAACTAGTGCGCTCCTTCAACCACCGGTACGGGGCGGCCCTGCCCGCGCCCCAGCCCCTGCTGCCAGGTGACCGCCACCATGACGCCTGCCTGTCATGTGACGCGACCAGTTACAGCACTTGCAGCTGGCGGCCCAACTAGTGCGCTCCTTCAACCACCGGTACGGGGCGGCCCTGCCCGCGCCCCAGCCCCTGCTGCCAGGTGACCGCCACCATGACGCCTGCCTGTCATGTGACGCGACCAGTTACAGCACGCGACAGCTGGCGGCCCAACTAGTGCGCTCCTTCAACCACCGGTACGGGGCGGCCCTGCCCGCGCCCCAGCCCCTGCTGCCAGGTGACCGCCACCATGACGCCTGCCTGTCATGTGACGCGACCAGTTACAGCACGCGACAGCTGGCGGCCCAACTAGTGCGCTCCTTCAACCACCGGTACGGGGCGGCCCTGCCCGCGCCCCAGCCCCTGCTGCCAGGTGACCGCCACCATGACGCCTGCCTGTCATGTGACGCGACCAGTTACAGCACGCGACAGCTGGCGGCCCAACTAGTGCGCTCCTTCAACCACCGGTACGGGGCGGCCCTGCCCGCGCCCCAGCCCCTGCTGCCAGGTGACCGCCACCATGACGCCTGCCTGTCATGTGACGCGACCAGTTACAGCACGCGACAGCTGGCGGCCCAACTAGTGCGCTCCTTCAACCACCGGTACGGGGCGGCCCTGCCCGCGCCCCAGCCCCTGCTGCCAGGTGACCGCCACCATGACGCCTGCCTGTCATGTGACGCGACCAGTTACAGCACGCGACAGCTGGCGGCCCAACTAGTGCGCTCCTTCAACCACCGGTACGGGGCGGCCCTGCCCGCGCCCCAGCCCCTGCTGCCAGGTGACCGCCACCATGACGCCTGCCTGTCATGTGACGCGACCAGTTACAGCACGCGACAGCTGGCGGCCCAACTAGTGCGCTCCTTCAACCACCGGTACGGGGCGGCCCTGCCCGCGCCCCAGCCCCTGCTGCCAGGTGACCGCCACCATGACGCCTGCCTGTCATGTGACGCGACCAGTTACAGCACGCGACAGCTGGCGGCCCAACTAGTGCGCTCCTTCAACCACCGGTACGGGGCGGCCCTGCCCGCGCCCCAGCCCCTGCTGCCAGGTGACCGCCACCATGACGCCTGCCTGTCATGTGACGCGACCAGTTACAGCACTTGCAGCTGGCGGCCCAACTAGTGCGCTCCTTCAACCACCGGTACGGGGCGGCCCTGCCCGCGCCCCAGCCCCTGCTGCCAGGTGACCGCCACCATGACGCCTGCCTGTCATGTGACGCGACCAGTTACAGCACGCGACAGCTGGCGGCCCAACTAGTGCGCTCCTTCAACCACCGGTACGGGGCGGCCCTGCCCGCGCCCCAGCCCCTGCTGCCAGGTGACCGCCACCATGACGCCTGCCTGTCATGTGACGCGACCAGTTACAGCACGCGACAGCTGGCGGCCCAACTAGTGCGCTCCTTCAACCACCGGTACGGGGCGGCCCTGCCCGCGCCCCAGCCCCTGCTGCCAGGTGACCGCCACCATGACGCCTGCCTGTCATGTGACGCGACCAGTTACAGCACGCGACAGCTGGCGGCCCAACTAGTGCGCTCCTTCAACCACCGGTACGGGGCGGCCCTGCCCGCGCCCCAGCCCCTGCTGCCAGGTGACCGCCACCATGACGCCTGCCTGTCATGTGACGCGACCAGTTACAGCACGCGACAGCTGGCGGCCCAACTAGTGCGCTCCTTCAACCACCGGTACGGGGCGGCCCTGCCCGCGCCCCAGCCCCTGCTGCCAGGTGACCGCCACCATGACGCCTGCCTGTCATGTGACGCGACCAGTTACAGCACGCGACAGCTGGCAGCGCAGCATCATGACGATTGATTGTCTTCTTGCCTTTTTTTAACATCATAAAAAATTACGTATGCGCAATCGCCTTGAAAGGACGGCAAGTTTATATGGGATTCCTCCCCCGCCTCCCACCCGGTCAGCTGGCAGGCCCGGGCCCCCCTGACCTCCGTCGGTGACCTGTCATCTCCCCTAACTTATGCAGTTATACTTATGTTATAATATGTATTTCTATATAAATATACCTATATATGTGCAGTATATGTATTCTATCCGTTACCCAAGTATCCCATAACACAAGCCTTACTGTGCTTACTTAGGGGCAAGGCTAATTGGTGCGAGTGTTGGAAATATTTATTTATACACCCCAGCAAGCTTCTTAAACATCAACCATGGACAAGAGAGCCTGCGCAGTAGCAATTTTACATACAAAAACGTCCAGTGCGCAAGTTTGTAAGTGTTTTTTTCTCAAGGAGTTTATCACTACCTACCTATACTATTAAAATAGACTTCCTCAAAATCCACCAGCCATCAACAGTCATCGTTACATTCAAAGATTAAATACAATCTAATCACAAACCAATAGTCACTAAACAAAAAGACATGTCAGGTAGTCAAATAAAACTATCGTTACATTACAAGAGGAAGTTGAACCGTTTTCGTTTGTCATTATAGCGTAGGTACTGGTGTCAATTCTGACACGATTCTCTAAACCAAAACTTAAATTTGACAACAGTGTATCCTTGTCATTCTCTATACAGAATGAAAAGGAGAGATTGATGTTAAATTTAGTTTTAAGTTTAGAGAATCACGCCAGAATCGACACCACTATAAAGTCAGTGTACTTTTGATGTAGCGTACTATCTCTATGGGGTACTGTTTTTCATTAACCCGTCGATGCAGTGACTGTCGAACTTATAAACCAGACCGTTTGGAAACAAATATTCGAGCTCATCACACAATTTAATCCTTTTAATGCAGGAATCCTTTTGAAGGCAGATGTCAGGAGCCCTGCCGTTGTGGCAACAAGTTGTTAACTAAACATTAATTGTACAAATTATTTCATTTAACATAATTTTTAAATATTTTTAACAGATGACGGCAGTGATAGAATATTGAGTCTTCGCGATCCAACCAAAAAGATGTCGAAATCAGACACAGACCCCAAGTCGCGCGTACTGCTGAGCGACCCGGACGACGTCATCGAGCTCAAAATAAGGAAGGCGGTCACAGATTTCACGCCTCATGTGAGCTACAGTTTTTATTATTACAAATATTTTCTATTAAAATGCGTTAAAAAACAGACATTGATCAGATAACTTTTGAAAAAAGACACTATTTTCACTTAGCCCTGCGGCATGTTGACTTTTCATCGGTCCGTGCGTGACCGAACCAAGAAGTGCTTGAGTGGTGTTCAAGCACTTCTTGATTGGGACTCATAGTATGGTGTGTATCTAGGGTTTTAAATATCGTCAGATTAACGTGCCTTCCGAATGACGGAGGAGCTGGAGATAACAAATTTTAGGTCACCCATCCTTTACCCACCTATACCAAAAGTTGCTCAACTTTCACGATCGTAGTTTGGATGCGCTAACCACTGCACTCCAATAGGCGTGATGACGGCGTGTAGTAAACGAAATTCTATTAAGTCCGTCAGTTAGGTGATCAAAAAATAATGGACACGTATTTTTTCTTTGGGTAATCAACCAATAAATGACAAAGTTATAGCGCGTCAAAGTTTGGGAGTAGGGGCTCGTGACGTCACTTTTGAGTGAATTTTCACTTATAAGTGTACTCAAACGTGACGTCATGCGACTTTTCAAATCAATATATCTCTGCAATGTTTATATTATGTGAAAAAAGAAAAAATACGAGTCCAATACTTTTTGATAATCTACCTGATAAATGAAGAAAAAAAAAATAGTCATCATCCCTATTGTATTTCTACCCACTACTGTATTTCTTCTCAAATGCCTATGTAGATTTGAGCTAAAATAGAACAAGATTGTCTCATTTTGTTGTACTTTTGAGGATGTGAAGCAATATTATTGGGATATTTAATGAAATCCAGTTATATAAAATACTTAATTTATTTTATACTAGTACATAAAACGCAGTTTCGTTATGAAACAGCCTACATCTCAACTGGTTCTGTGGTTGCAGACCAAAATGTCAATATAATTCATCATAATCGTTTTATTTTACAAAAGCATCCAAAACGGATACGGAGACACCATTAATTACATTACATTACAGTACATTATGCTATATTTCATCCTCCGAGACTATACCGAGACATGGTCTGGTATCTCATCTACTATATAAAAATAAGTCGGGTTTTCCTTCCTGACGCTATAACTCCAGAACGCACGAACCGATTTCCACGGTTTTGCATTCGTTGGAAAGGTCTCGGGCTCCGTGAGGTTTATAGCAAAATTTAAAAAAAATCTTCTTTTAATCACCAAACGAAATGTTACATAAAACGAAGCCATCTGGTGGCGAAACGGAGTTCGCCGGGTTTGCTAGTACTTTATAAAATCTTGCTTATTTCTTTTGAGATCTCGTCAGTACACATACAGTCAGTAAGTGTGGGTCCCTTTACTAAAAGTTTGTCTATGAAAGTCTTGTACTTTTATAGGGCATTCACACAGGACATCGAGAAATCATTTACTGACGAGTTCTCAACTGTTTATCACGGACATATGGAGGGTTTATCAAGTTCCATACATCAGCGGTTTCTATACATGTTGCGATCATCAAGGCCGTGCGCTGCGTTAAGCGGGAACACGGAGCGAACGGCCGCGTGCAGTAGAACAGTACCCGCTCGGCCTTCTCTACCATAAAACATTTGCTTACCCTATAATGACACAAGGCAATTGACAAATCTCTAGTTTTATACATATTTTTGTTGTTATACAAAAGTATATCTAACGGCGAACATTTTGTACGCAACCACCAACAATGATAGATCACATACTAACAATACATAATGTAAATTAAAGCTCCTTGGGGGTTTTACAAACATCAGTTTATTCGTATCAAAAAATATAGAAATATCTATCTTGTGTGGTTGCATTCGAAATGTTTTCCCTTTAGTCCACACCCTTCAACCGCGTCTTGGGTGCGGGACAGACAGAAAAAAAGTAAGACGCAGACGTGATGCGGAGATTTGTCTTTTCCGTGTCTTTTTCATACAATATGCATAGAAGTTTTTTAGAAAGATTTCATAAAAAAGAAAGATAGGTAGATAGGTGCGGGGCGCATAGACGACTTTTTTTCATTTTGTATAAAATTGTCAATTTTCGTGTCTCGTTTGAGTCTTACATTTTCTCTGTGTCTCGCGCCTTGCCGTTAATCTTGTCTTTTTTTTATTTATGATGTGAGAATGTTGCGCGCCTAATTACTAAAGCCCTGTTTGCTGCCGAACGCTTCGCGCTCGCACTATGAACCATTTAATATTTTATGTCAAGCGTCGTTTCTTTCTCATTTGCGTTTATTTAACTTTTTAGAGATTGATGCCCAAATTCGAACTAAGAAGGGGAGGTCGATTAAAGTTAATTATTTTTCGATAAAGAGCGGTACTCAAAATACTAAACGTTCGCTCTAATCATTTCTGTCTAAAGCTTCTTTTTCTTTTTGCAAAATGAGGGCTATTTTTGTAAATTTCGCCGCATTCGAGTGGTCAAAAACTAAAACTAGATATAGGCTATGCGATAATGCGAAATTGACATTGACGTATTGTCATTTTCCATGGGATAGATTTCGTTTTGGTCGAATCGAGATTTAGCGAGTTCGCTGCAAGCGGGCCATAGGAATCGAAGCGCAATCGGGGCCATAGGGGCCGTTCAATTATTACGTAAGCAGATTTATTACAATTATTTACCCCCTCCTCCCCCTCGTCAGCAAAAGTAAGCAAAGCTTTTACCCCTCCCCCCCATTCTTACGTAAACATTGGTACCTATATGCATTTTTCCTTTATTCTGTTTTTTTATTGATTCATGAGCTTTCATGAGCAGCTGTACTTAAAAAGGCTTAATCGATGATGCTGACGTAATCACCATCTCTACCCCCCAGCCCCCCATGTCATCAAAAATAAGCAAAGCAAAGTGCTTACGTAATACTTGAACAGCTCCATACCCAGCGGCGCGTGGTCGCGGGTAACATGTTGCCGTTTGCAGGTGACGTACGATCCGGAGAGTCGTCCGGGCGTGTCCAACCTGGTGCGGCTGCACTGCCTCGCGGCCGACATCCTGCCCGAGGAGGCGGTGGAGGAGGCCGACGGGCTCAACACGGCCCAGTACAAGGCGGTGGTGGCACGTGCTCTCGTGCGACACCTGGCGCCCATCAGGGAGCGGGCGCGCCGCCTGCTGGCCGACCCGCGCGTCATACACGCCGCGCTACAGCACGGGGCAGCGCGGGCGCGGGCGCGGGCCGACACCACGCACGAGCGACTGGCGCGGCTCATGGGCACCGCCCCCTTATATACCACCCTCGCTAGAGACGGTGGTGGTGCGGCGGGAGGGGAGCCGGCGCCGGCGCCCCGCACGCGCCGCCCAGCGGACTGCGCGACCGCAGCACCTGAGGACCGACCCACGCGCGTTGCCAATTAGACTACTCCGTGTGTGTTTGCTTTTAAAGTTTGCGCAGGAGCAACGCGTCGATTTGCAAAAGCGAAGAGTGATATTTAATGGTAGCCATACACACTGCGAGAAATCGTTACGATTAAACTGTATCGTCCGAACGGTACACGGTAGCGTGTATGTTATAAAACTGCAGTGTTTCCTATGCGTACGCCACGTACGATAAACTGTTCCGTTCGCACTGTAGTCTGATCGTAACGATTTCTCGTAGTGTGTATGGCTACCATGAGAGGAAAGATTTAGTAAACCGTTTTGAGATAGTGACTGTGTTGATATGTACAGAAATCTGCGATTATTTGTTAAATAAAAAAACACTATTTCGACTGTGCTCATGGACCGCTTCGGGTGCTTCCGGGGCCTCCCGGTGGTCCGCGATCCCACAATTGAGAGAACCCCTGCCTTCCAGGCGTTGTTCTTCCGAGAAAGAGCACGTTTGAAACCTATTAAAATAGTTATTTATTCAACTGTTGTATAATGAGGGATATTAAAATAGACGAAGTCGAATTGTATACGAGACCTTATCTACCATCCATAATATGCATCCTCTATAAAAGATTCTAAAAACAGGGAATTCTTCGAACTTGAAATTCATAAACAATTTCATAAATGCATGAATGGTAATGATCTTTTTTAAAATCCATACGCATGCAGCAGTGAAAATTGTGACTATCTGATAAGTAAACGCTTGACGCGAAAGTGATTTAAAAAGCAAAACAAGTGTTGTTACGAACTACAACATCTGTTTGAGTATTAAAATGTTTTTTTATTACGACATATTTTAATGTTGATAACAAACTGTTTTAGAATCTTTTATAGAGATGTTAAAGCATAATTGTCGACAAAAATGTTTCATTTAATGAGTTATGTGCGCGAAAACATATTAAATAAAGCAGCAAGCAGAATTCATATAGACAAAGAAAAATACAGAGCAGTGGAATGTGTGATTATTTAGATCTTTTATTCTATACCTTGTAGTTTTGCCTTCACAATTCCGCCAATGTTACGTAGATGATAAGTAAGATCAGTACTAGACAAACATAGTTGACAAGAAAGGAAAGAGGATAAAGTAGTATGATACATGCAGTTCGTATGAATGGAGAAAAGCTTGGAGACCATTATCCTTAGCATTAGAGGCATATCTGTAGTCAACAGTTTTGATCTCTACTGCTTTATTAGAATGTCACTAAGATACTTGTCCTGAAAAGCATCAATGGATATGCAATTGACATTTAGTTACACACAGTAAATGGCAAAAAAGTAAGCTAATGGACCTACAGATGTCATGTATTATGGTATCGAAACACCATAGAAAGTAAGTGATGTGAACCAGGGGCGTATTTAACAATTAGGTTAATAACGAATGCCTTTACATGGTTCCCGTCGCCTTGGGCCATGGCCCTCTTGGCCCTAGGGTAAATATATCCCCATGATAACTAGTCTACGCTTATTCCTTGTTTATTAATACGGGTTAGTGTTTTTAGTATCAAAACACATACAAGTCTTTATAATTATCGTAGTTACAAATACCGATTTCTTTTTAGTCTAGGTACTAGGTACTTGGAGAGATACACTATGTCACTGTCAGTCAAATACAGAGAAAATAAACCTTAAAACATGATTTGGAATACAATTATAACTTTTAAACCCTAACATTTAAAATTCTGTTATTTTATGTCGCTATTTCCAATTATATTATCCATCAAATGTGTAAATCTCATTGCCAAACATGACAGTTGTATACCTGTACAAAACTCCCATAGCACCCTGCCATTCTCCTGTAAAACTTAACGGGATGGTACCTCGGCCAGCAGCTCGCGTAGTGTAGGGCGCACGCACCTGCACGAGGTCCCTCAGCAGGTCGACGGCCTGCGCGACGGCCTCGGCCTGCTTCTCCGCGGCGAGCGCGGTCCGCATGGCCGCCTCGGCCAGCAGCTCGCGTAGTGTAGGGCGCACGCACCTGCACGAGGTCCCTCAGCAGGTCGACGGCCTGCGCGACGGCCTCGGCCTGCTTCTCCGCGGCGAGCGCGGTCCGCATGGCCGCCTCGGCCAGCAGCTCGCGTAGTGTAGGGCGCACGCACCTGCACGAGGTCCCTCAGCAGGTCGACGGCCTGCGCGACGGCCTCGGCCTGCTTCTCCGCGGCGAGCGCGGTCCGCATGGCCGCCTCGGCCAGCAGCTCGCGTAGTGTAGGGCGCACGCACCTGCACGAGGTCCCTCAGCAGGTCGACGGCCTGCGCGACGGCCTCGGCCTGCTTCTCCGCGGCGAGCGCGGTCCGCATGGCCGCCTCGGCCAGCAGCTCGCGTAGTGTAGGGCGCACGCACCTGCACGAGGTCCCTCAGCAGGTCGACGGCCTGCGCGACGGCCTCGGCCTGCTTCTCCGCGGCGAGCGCGGTCCGCATGGCCGCCTCGGCCAGCAGCTCGCGTAGTGTAGGGCGCACGCACCTGCACGAGGTCCCTCAGCAGGTCGACGGCCTGCGCGACGGCCTCGGCCTGCTTCTCCGCGGCGAGCGCGGTCCGCATGGCCGCCTCGGCCAGCAGCTCGCGTAGTGTAGGGCGCACGCACCTGCACGAGGTCCCTCAGCAGGTCGACGGCCTGCGCGACGGCCTCGGCCTGCTTCTCCGCGGCGAGCGCGGTCCGCATGGCCGCCTCGGCCAGCAGCTCGCGTAGTGTAGGGCGCACGCACCTGCACGAGGTCCCTCAGCAGGTCGACGGCCTGCGCGACGGCCTCGGCCTGCTTCTCCGCGGCGAGCGCGGTCCGCATGGCCGCCTCGGCCAGCAGCTCGCGTAGTGTAGGGCGCACGCACCTGCACGAGGTCCCTCAGCAGGTCGACGGCCTGCGCGACGGCCTCGGCCTGCTTCTCCGCGGCGAGCGCGGTCCGCATGGCCGCCTCGGCCAGCAGCTCGCGTAGTGTAGGGCGCACGCACCTGCACGAGGTCCCTCAGCAGGTCGACGGCCTGCGCGACGGCCTCGGCCTGCTTCTCCGCGGCGAGCGCGGTCCGCATGGCCGCCTCGGCCAGCAGCTCGTCGGTGGGAGTCCCGCCGGCGCCCGGCCCGACGCCCGGCCCCACGCCCGGCCCGGCCCCGGACGTCTCGGAGCACATGTCGTCGTCGCACGCGCGCCGCTCCTCGTCCGACCCGCCGCCGCGCCCGCCCGCTGACGGAACGATGACATTCACCCAATCATAATTATATCTTTGAAGTGGTAACTTCTTATGGGAGGGTAACCGTCTGTCCGGCTTCCCTTCGCCGCGAGATAAGATAGACGCCGCAGCCCGCCCAGGTTCCATAGGAGTGTCCCTCTGGCCCAGTGCGGATTGATGGCTGCTGACGACTGCAGATGCAGCCGGGCCGTGCCTTCCGAAGCACGGAGGAGCTCGAGATAGTAATTTTTGGTCACCCATCCAATGACCGACCACTGCGAAAATTACTTAAGTACAACGATCGCAACCGAACGCGCTAACCACTTGCACCATCGAGCTCCTCGGGGTCCTCCAAGAACTTGGTTGAGTTCAAGCCAAGAAAACTCAGGTTTGCGCTTTCACGGTAAATACATCGCCATTTCTTCCCCATCCCTCTCTTCAGGGTACAACACTGGCGCTACAGAGCAACATCACCATGCTTGGTATAAAAGTTCGCTCAGACCTGAATGCACAGGACTACATCAAAACCGTGATCAAAACAGCTCACGAAAACTCGGGAGTCCTGAACGAGGTGCGGCCTTTTTTTTACGCCCGATCTGCCCGACTGTGCTTGTTGTACAAAACCCAAGTGCGGTCCTGCGTAGAATATTGCCCGCACCTCTGGGATGGATCCGCTAAGTACTTACTCGATGTCCGCATCATTGGCGATGAAGAGGTGACTAACAAACTCGAGTCTTTACAATTACGCCGCGATGTTGCATCATTAAGCGCATTCTACCGAATATACCACGGCGAGTGTTCTGAGGAGTTATTCTCCCTGATCCCTCCATAACCTTTTCTTCAGAGAACCACTCGCGCTAGCCTACGTTGCCACTGACTTACTGTGGCCAATATTCCTACCCGAACAAAGAAATTTAGTGGCTCATTTCTTTGTCGTACTCTTCATAAATGGAATTCTTTGCCCGCGCATGTGTTCCCTTTCTACAATCTGGGGTCCTTTGAGAGAGGCGTGAAGAAGCATTTTTGCAGGTCAGCAAGGTGAGAATGGTTGGTGTAGCAGTTTATAATTGCTGTAACAGCTATCTTCCCGTTTGGACTCTATCACCACTGAACATCAGGTGGGGTAGAGTAAATGCCTACCTTGCTATAAAAATATATAAATTTTTTTTTTTCAGATAAGTTCCAAATTAGAAGTAACGCAAGATGGATAACTTTTGCCAATCGTTTTAACGCAACCTGCAGTTGTTTGCGACAATTTTGCCAATTACAGAATACCACAGTAAAAACAACACAACCTTTTGGTGTTGTCATGTTTCTGTCGGTGAGTATGGTAACAAGGCTCCAAAGGATAGGGGATTAGGTCAGGGCAGCTTATAGCGCCAGTGATATTTTTTGTATTGCAAGTGTCTACAGGCTATGGTGGCTGTTTACCATCAGGTGGGCCATATGCTTGTCTGCCACCCTTTTATTATAAAAAAAACAAATGAAACTTTTACTTCATCCGCTTATAATTATAAGCTCATCCGTGCACATAATTTGTTGCCATCCAGCCGACATTTTCAAAAAGGGCATCAATAAGCTACATTACCATTGCATGGGTAATTACTTTGATAAATAAAAAATATATTTAAAAAGATGGGTGTTAACTTATTTCATGAAAAATGGCAATTTCATAGACGAAGACCTATATTTTAGTTAATGGTAACTAAGTACCCCTTTTTGTTCTTCAGGAATAATGCGCTGATTGGCCTTCTTTTTTCTTGAAAACTACTGAATTGATTTAGATGAAACTAAGTACCAATAAAGATTTTTTTTAAGTAATAGCATGGTCATGCTGTATTATTAATATGCTTAAATAAATTATTTCTTCAGTAGAATGTTACAAATATGACCCTAATCAAAAAACGATCTCCAACTTACAGTCTCGTCCGCTGTTCCGCAGTATGTTTTGCAATCGCTCTTCAGCACTTGACAAACCACCAAGGGCTCCTCCTGCTGCTGATTTCCGTCGAGCTTTATATTTAATATCTGCCCAATACTGTAACAAATTATAGGCATATAGATTTAAAAATTTTGACATTTCTTATAGTCTAAATCAAGTTTTATTTAAGTCCAGTTTTATCAAAATTACTACAAGTAGGCCTAAATAATATAGCTTATACTTAATAAAGTCATGTAAGTGCACTTGGCCATATAAAATCAATGTGAAAGTATTTCTTTCTTGCTAAATAGGTAGGCACTTATAAACAAATTTTGTTGCCTCCTGAATAGAATACATCCTACTAATATTATGAGATGAGATTTAGGACACTTTTTATCCTGGAAAAATGTGAGATGCCTGAGGGATTATACAAACGAAGTCGCCCTTGGCCAATAATTTTTTCATAGACATGTCATTTCTCTAGGCGAAATGGCATGTAGCTTGAATCAACGAATCACGTACCCGGCACCACTTATCTGGGCTTTTGCGAGCGCCGCTGCTGTCAGCTGCCGCAGCGTTCAACCTCTCCGCAAGCAGTCGCCACAACTTGCTCGAGCTAAACCTTGAATATATGGATTGTTTGCCTGCGGCAAAATCGGGGTGATCTTCCATAAAATTTAGCAATATATCGAGTTGTTCCGGGCTTACTCTACATCTAGTTAACACAGCACTCATGTCTTACAAACATAGTCAGATAATTTTATGTTTTTTATGATACATAATATGTACCACACTAATAAGATGTGAATAATGAAGTTTTTATTCCTCTACGAGATCTAGAATGCAATGAATGAATATCCGTTTAATTCATTTAAAAACACACAAAAATTTACCGAAATTAAAAACAATTCTTTTTTTACCATTCTCACTTTTTAGGGAAGGCAAAAGGAACAATGCCTATACAGCCTAGTCTTCAGTTTTCTTTGTTCTTTTTTTTAACATTAGAATGTGAATGTGACGCATTCTATTGTTTCTTTGAGTGTTTGGCACGACATGTATCGAATCAGCTTTCTCGATAAGCTTCTGTGAGGTAGTCAACACAATAAAGTTCTCACGTCCACTTGACCGGAATAGCATTTATTTTAAAAATTCGACTAATTGTTCAGTTATGCAGACGTTTGTAACATAAAATCACACCAATTTTATTTCACACTATCCACTATAACGAATTAAAAACATTTCTTTTTCAACAGCAGCTCAGCGCCTAGTTTTTTTGTAATATTGTTAGAGCAATTTGAAATAGCGCTGTAAAATGATAAGCAGTAATAAGATAAATTAATGTAATATAGCTTAGTAATAAAATATATACCTTTCAGCAATGTTGTAAAAGACCTAGAGTTGATTGTCGATTCCAGTTTTAAATGATTCGTTTTTAATCTTAGAAAATATGACCATGTGTCCGCATACCGATCACTCTTAAAATGGATGCCCATTAGGCAACGCAGATGTAGGCGGGCTCTGACCACTTTGTTCACCTTGCTGGATTCTCCAAATGCCCCCCCTTATCTCACTTCTCAGTTTCAGTACTTATGTACCTCTCATACTAAAAATCTTAGATCTTCTTTCAGTCGTTTACTAGTCGTTCCATCTCACAATTCCGCTAACATTCACTCTTCCTTCTTCGTCAAAACTATACTTTTGTGGAACGAACTCCCGCTAGACATTAGAATGTCCCCCAACCCCAACAAACATTCTTCTTCAAAATAAATTTTGCCACAACTGCAAAAAGTCTGGTCATTCAACTGATGCATGCTGGAGCAAAAAGAAGGCCAATAACAAGAAAGATAAGCAAAAAGACAACGTGTGTTTGAATATCGCCAACCCTGATACAAATAAAACAAGTTGGTGTTTAGATCATCCGATATGAGCGGCGAAAAGTCATTATTTTCAAAAATGAGTTCAGAAGAGGACTAGCATCAAACCAGTACACAAGCAAAATTCAAGGGAAGGGGGATATTACTGTTAGTAAAGAGAACGAAAATTACACTTTTAGTGAAACCCTGTACTTTCCAGATGTGTCAGTGAATTTACTGGCTGTAGGAAAAATAGCAGATAGAGGAAATAAGGTCTAGCGAGTACCCTATGAATACATATTCTTTCGTATTTTGGGTCAGCTTACCACGTTTTTGTTCTTCTTCAAAACAAAAGTTTTTCTGCCGAACACGTGCAGGTGATTTCCTGACGGTTAGGGCCCTACCCATTTTAAACGGTAAATCTCCGTTCAGTGCTATTGAAGGGCTACGATTCATCAGATAGTTGGCGGTGGCAATGGCTTCTGCCCAAAGTTTCTTGGGAGCATTTGCTTCAGACAATAAACACCTGGCCCTCTCTAATAAAGATCTATTTATCCTTTCGCTTACTCCATTTTGTTGCGGAGTATATGCTGCGGTCAGCCTTTTTTGAATACCGTTCGCTTTTAGGAAATTGTAAAATTCTTTGTTGCGGTACTCCTTACGGTTATCTGACTGTAAGTTTTTTATCCTTTTTTCGACTTGGTTTTTATATTCTTTAAAAACTTCAAGTCAAGTCAAGTACGTCGCTTTTCTTCTTAATGAAAAATACATAACAGTATCGGGTGTAGTCATCGATAAACGTGACAATATTTGGAGCCCGCTGAAGTTACGCATTCAAATGGACTACAGACATCGCTATGTATTATAGTTAATGGCTCAGTTGTTCTGGTATTTTCAGATTTAGGAAACGGTGCTCCTGATAATTTTCCACTTATGCGGGTTTCACAAGTTTCGAAGATATCGTTGTCTGTGTGATTTAATCCGTGCATAAGTATGTCTTTAATCATCTGTTTGAGATCTCTTTCATTTATAGGTCCCAATTTTCGAAGTCTTTGATGAATAATACGAGGTTCCCTTTTTGTCAAAATACCAGGTAAAATACAAGGTAGTATAGTCCGTTTTTTTCTTTCAGCTGTCAGTGAGACATCTCCATCTTTTTCGATGCCATAGGCCTTGTCTTTTCGAATACGACCTTATTTCCTCTATCTGCTATTTTTCCTACAGACAGTAGATTCACTGACACATAGATGAATGATTGGTCTCTCTTCACGAGTGAAGCGAGACCAATCATTTATCTATGCACTGACACATCTGGAACATACAGGGTTTCACTAAAACTGTAATCATTCTCTTTACCAGCAGTAATATCCCTGTTTCCAATTGATCCTTAGCAATTATTGAGAAGACGTTCTTTTAAACAATCTTAAAAAGCTTGACTTCGGTGGCCAGCACCAAAATATATTCTCCCAATTTAAAGTAAGACAAAGGATATTGAGTCCATATAGCTTCGTATAAGTTTTATTTGTATTTTTCTCTTTTGTTTTCTTGTACATATGTATTATATAAAGGTTCGAGCAAATGGCTCCTGGATCACCTCAGCTGGGTGTTGATTCTGCTAACAATAAAGGTTAATAAGGTTCAATCAATACAATATGATTAATAAATAGTATCGCTTTAAGACCATTGCATGATTGCATTGACATAGAAATCATTGTTTTAGATACATTTATTTATTTTTATAACAAATGTATGTAGAAAACAAAGACTCTTCCCACCCGCCCATTTCGCCCAGCCAGAAGCTCGATGAAATGAACAGGGTTACTCAGTAAAAAGCTGATAATACTCCTGCACCGGTCACCAGATACGCACTATGTGGACTGAGGTCCCCCTAATGCGTGCCAGGTGTGTGAGTAGTGACGTGGAGCCTACAAGAGACTGGCCACGCACCCACAAGGTAATTGCCCACCCTGAAGTATCAGGGGCACCACCTATCACAGAAATGTGATGAAAGTGCAATGTAGACTGTCCCTTCCATACCAGCCCGCTGGCGGTACCTGTATTCTTACTGGAAGACCCCTCCTTCTTCAAGAAAGTAAGGGCCTTGCACAACTCGTCTCAACCCGTAGCGAAACCCTAGGTGCCATAAGTCAATGACTGGAGATTACGAAAAAAGTGTCCACCACAGATTACAGAGAGTATGTTTCTACAACGGAGCAGCCGTGGCGCTCACATAATTATATTTTCCCTTTAATGTTCTATTGGTTAAAGTGTAGACCAAATACTGAAAGAATCAAGAGGTGACTCAGCCTCAGTATCATTATTAAACAATAAGCAGTGCTGACAAAGCACAATGTATACAAAGATCAAATAATTACTATTTTCAACCGACTTCAAAAAAGAGGAGGTTTTCAATATTAGACTGTAGATATTTTTATAGTAAGAGCAATTAGTTCTTTGAAAATTCCCTGAGACATTATTTGCTTCTATATTTACTTACAATCATTGGTAGTTCATTATATTTTAAGTATTTAACTGTTAGATTTATAAATCTAAATGAAATGTTACTAGAAAAAAATCTACGTGGCCCAGGCAACAGACAGGATTCGAACCTTCCGCTTTCGCTATCTAGGGTTACGACCACAGAACACAGAAAGGTTACGACGGTGCAGGTTCGAATTCTGTGAGATGCCTGCACCGCGTGGAATTTTTCCTTGTTTTTTTCATTAGATCATTGGTAATCTGAAAATACTATCAAAATCATAATTGCGTAGGTATGTATTTAGCGCTGCGTATTATTACCGCCCCTAGGTTTTTTTCACGTCCTCTAACCTTAAAATCCTTCCATTTCGATACGTGATTCATGGTGAATCCTACAAAAAACAAATTTCGCCTCCGATAATTTTAAACTTGAACAAATAAAATCAATTTATAAAGGCGAAGGCAACGTAAATTAATGAAGGTTTAATCATTACTTCGGTTACTATGGTAACTTATTGGATAACACCAAAACATTACTATTCTTGTAGGAATAATACAGCAGTGTTGTGTTAATGTTTATATTTTTGATTGCGATTTCCTTTATAAAATTAAGCCATGATATAACATGATATGGTGGTGACGTCATAAAATAGGTTTCATGTGATATCGATATCAATCAATAGCAAAGTTAATGTGAAAAGTATCGGTTTAATTTGATAAAAATTCATGAAGATGAAAAAGGAACTAAAGGTCAAATTCCTCATATTGTATTGTAAAGCTGTGTCTCTCTGGAAATAGGAGCTACTAATTCATTTAAATAAAGTCAGCCATGAACCGCTATGTGGTGCTACAACAGCTGGGAGACGGCACGTATGGCTCCGTGGTGATGGCGCAGCGACGCGACACCGGCGAGAAGGTGGCCATCAAACGCATGAAGAGAAAATACTACTCGTGGGATGAGGCTATGAATTTGCGAGAAGTGAAATCATTGAAAAAACTGAACCATGCCAATATAGTGAAGCTCCGCGAGGTCATACGCGAAAACGACACTCTCTATTTTGTTTTCGAATATATGCGTGGCAATCTTTATCAATTGATTCGCGATGCGGAGCGGCCGTTTCCGGAGCCCGTGTTGCGTAATATTCTGTACCAGGTGTTGCAGGGACTGGCGCACATGCATCGGCACGGATTTTTCCACCGCGACCTCAAGCCGGAGAATCTGCTGTGTGCCGGACCGGAGCTCATCAAGATCGCCGACCTGGGCCTCGCGCGCGAGGTGCGCTCGCGGCCACCGTACACGGACTATGTGTCGACGCGATGGTACCGAGCACCCGAGGTGCTCCTCCACGACACACGGTACGGAGCACCCATCGATTTATGGGCGTTGGGTTGCATAGCCGCCGAGCTTTACACGTGCCGCCCGCTGTTTCCCGGCAACTCGGAAATCGACCAACTGCACAAGGTGTGTGCAGTGTTGGGCACGCCGTCGCGAGAGGAGTGGCCGGAGGGGTACGTGTTGGCGGAGGCGCTGCGGTTCCGGTTCCCGGCGTGCGCGGGCGTGCCGCTGGCGCGCGTGGTGCCCACCGCGTCCCCGCCCTCGCTGGCGCTGCTGGCCGCGCTGCTGCGATACCCGCCAAGGGACCGCCCCACGGCACCACAAGCACTGAGGCAGGCTTCCATAGAGTGCCTCACAGACAGACGGCCGGACGGCCGGACGCCCGGGTGGCGGCCAGTTGTATTCGCTTGCAATGTATGCGACTGATAACGGCTGGCTTCGAATGCAGGCGGCTTCTGTCTGTGAGACTCCTAACATTGATTTATTTAATCTAAAAGTATTTGGATTTTCTATACACAAATTTCGCTTATTTTTCAGGTTTCCGTATTTTGCCGTAGGCGCTGCTCTCGTTTTACCGCCTCCCGCGTCCAGAGCGAGAAGGTACGTTGCAGCGATTTGTTTATCCACCGAATTCTGTAAACATTTTAGTTTTAAAATAATCATCAGAGCGTTGTCAGAAAGAGGCTTAACGATTCCAGGAGCGGATCTCGGATAGAGAATGAGAATTTACCTCCGGCACCCAACGCGCTTCCGGTGGCCATACCGGGTATCGTCGGTATCGGTGCACCGCCGCATCGAGACCGCTTCGCTGATATTTTAGGGTGAGTCGATCGCGTCGTTATCTGATCACCCTCATATTACCCGAATAAATACCTGTAAATACTCGTAAAATAGCTCGAAAACTAAGTAACACCCGGTAACAACGGAGTTACGTCGTAAGTAATCATAAAAAAATCAATGAGTGATGCATGCATGCCTATGATCACAGAGGCGAGGTAGTGCACGAGTCGGAGTCGGAGGCGGTGCGGCAGCGGTCGGGGTCGGGTGCGGGTGCGCGGCGCGGGCGCAGCGTGCTGGCGGCGCTGCAGGCGGGCGCGGGAGGGGGCGCGGGCGCGGGCGCTGGAGGGGGGCCGGCGCCGTGCCCCGCCGCCGCCGCTGCTGCAGCCGCGCACTACCTCGGCACCTCGCGCTACGTCGCCGGCACCCGCATCGACGCCTCGCTCTTCCATCCGGTGCCACTTCGATTTCACCAAGGCATAATTAATCTACATTATAAATATCACTAAGTTCAAGATATTAACACTCGTTTACCAGATTAGCTGAAATGATTGAGAGTGAGATGTTGTCGTCATACACATCAGTATACCCCCTGTCGAAGTCTTTTATTGCGTCCGAAACCTACCATTTACCACAAATTGACTATTCATTTATGATTTGCACGATGCACCTGTTCTCGCTCGACACGCAACACTCGCAGTCGGATACTGTATCTGATACTTTTCGATTTTTCTGGTTGATGCGCTGCACCTTTTGTCATCCTCCACCACTAGACAATTTAAACCCATCAATACGATTGAAATTCTTGTGTTTCGTAATTGCAATCGCTTCCCTGATCTTTCTTCTTATGCTAGGTCTCAACGCAGCCACTTTGATCGACGGTGACTCACTAGCGATATATGACATTTGTTTTGTTTTGCAGCAGACGTGTACATACCGGTGTTCGCCGTTACTGTTTTGCTTACGCTTGATTTTATGTCTTCAGAAAGGTATCGAATGTTGCTAGCAGTCGTTTGCATAAATGACAAGAGGCAAAAAAAATATTAAATAAAATTTGTGCGACTAAAATCTCTCAACTTTGTGACTACAAATCTTTATATAAGTAATTTTTACTGTTAATCATCCATAATGAAAATCAATCCCGGTATAATTCTTTAAATTCAATCACAAAAAACCGAGAATATTAACGTAGGTAGTTCCGCTATTTCAAAATTCAGCCATGTCGACACACGCACAACAACGATGTTGCTGGCGACTACTATGCGAATTCGACTTTTTAGATTAACAGCGATTTGATCGCTGCATTGGCAGCGGCATTAAATCGCTGCTAATATTCACGTTTAAGCACTGCTTTTGACATCGCCAGCGAGTCACTACCGACCAAAGTCACCGTCGTGTGCTTTAAAGCTTTAAGTATTTCAGTGACGCGTCGAGATACTCTGTGGTAAGTACGTCGAGATCTTGTTGATTACTCTTAAACTTAATAAAATCTAAAACTTAATGTAAATAGACCCCTAGAATTTGAAATGAATTTAATCGTGTCGAAGGCGAAATCAAATAGGTAGACAAAAGTGGGGTATCGCGATCAGATACTGTGAATCTAGTGGTGTGTCAATCAAAAACAAATGCAAGAGAATATTGAGATTGTGAACATTGGTACGGCGGGTGTCGAGGGCAATAAAAGACTTCGAAAGAAGGTAGACCGATATTCCTGTCAAATACATCTTATAATCCGAAATTTATTCAGATACTCCGCCGTGATCATGCGCCACTTGCAGCAGTCCTGAAATATCAGATACTTGCAAGAAACAAGGACACGATGGCAGTCCCGTGTAATCTTTTATGGCAAAACAATAGAGTACCCTTCAAGTACCTCGTTGATTACTATTGACGACCTCCATGGTGTAAATAGGCGACATTTTGAAAACTGTAAAATGTACGCCACATTAGTATGTACATTGTAAAGATGTCTCACCCAATCAGAGTTCCTGGGTTCGAATGGTTGTGTATTTAAATATATTTCTAGAAAAATATACTTAAATTTTATCCGTTACCCTAGCTAGTACGTATCCCATAACACAAACCTTTGGGCAAGGCTAATTTGTGTGTTTTTTTATAACTAGGTAGGCAAATGAATCTACCCCACTTGATGTTATGTGGTGATAAACTCCAAACGTGAAGATATCCTCACCTTTCCAGCCTTCAGAAATGCTTTTTCACGCCTCTCTTAAAGGACCCCAGATTATAGGAAGTAAGTAGGGAACACGTGCGCGGGCAAAGAATTCCTCTTGCGAATATTACGAGAAAGAAATAAGTCACCTTTCTTTGTTCGTGGAAGAGCAGTGGCCACAGTAAGTCGGTGACAGACAATTCAATCCAGCGCGCGTGGTCCTCTGAAGAAAAGGTTATGAAAGGATAAGGGAAAATACCTCCTCAGAACACTCGCCGTGCCATAGTCGCTGGCCCTTTTACAAAATTGTGCCGCTGCCATACTGATCGGCGTAGGTAGATTAACTAGTGCAGTTTAATATTGCATTTTACGGGTGATGTTTCGAGTCTTGTAAAATAATTATTAATGAACTAATTATAAAAATATATACATATTTCAATAGTTCAATGATGTTAGATTAGTTTTATGAAAGTTTTTGATAGTAATTCCATTAAATTCAATATCAAAATACGAGGTAAACCTGTTTTTTTTTGAAAACTCATGGAGGTTAGATGTTTTTTTGATAATAAATGAGATGGAAAATCAAAATTCTAATACATTATGTTACAACAAAAACATATTTCTGATGTCGTAGTAATTAATTTGATCTAATTTATTGAACATTATTGAGAGATTGAGGCGCTTGAAGTTGTGCATATTATCGTTTTTTCCGTAAACTAGCTGCAGTAAAACGATCAGTACAAAAAAATTCAATTGTATTTTCAAATATTCTACATTAACTTACAACAGGAAGAACTTTTCTAAGGGGTTAAACGAGGCGCTCAAAAATTACTATTTTTTGCAAAAAATGTGTAAGGGCTCTTAATGATGCCACATCACGGCGTAATTGTAGAGACTCAAGTTTGTTAGTTACCTCTTCATCGACAATGATGCGGGCAGCGCGTCGCTGCAACCTATCCAAGGCATCGAGTACCTAAGTACTTAGCGGAGCCCAGAGGTGTGTGTGTTGGCAGACATTTACCTTATAAATACTAAAATACTTTTAATTGACTTAACCTTTTGATGGATCGGTAGGTAGGTATTTTGCCAACTTCGCAAATACTTATTTAGCCTTTATAAGTAAAATGTTATATTAAAATTTTGATTGAAACTTCCATTGTTTTTTTTTTGTTTCAGAAGCGACTACCGTAGGCAGTGGCGCGCCGCGAGTAGATTGGGCAGCGAAATATCTGCGTTGAGGGCCTTCCGCCTAACCTCGCCCGTCGATCCTTATTGCAGAGTCTCATTTAGAAACTATCGTGTGCTTAACGAAAGTGAATAGAGATACTTGGTGAAATGCGCTGTTTGTGATTAATGTATGTACTTGATCATGTTAAAAAGTGAAGTGCATCAACATTCTAATGACCCAATACTATAATAATATCTTAAGTTTAACGACAATCAAGGGCGACCTCACACTTACTGCTGTCCATACAGAGATGTTTAATAAAATAATACTGGCTTTTTTTTTCGAAACAGATACCTATATTAAGTAATTAGGTACCTATATTTAAAGAAATTTCCACTTTGGTTGTTTGTCTCACCAGATGGCGCCGCCGATGAGTGAGGTCCTGAAGTAGCTTTTTAAGTTTGTAAATACGTTTTTAAGTTTCCTGTTAGTGATTTTTAAGTTTGTTAATAATACAAGATTTAAATACAAAGATTTTAATACAAGAGAACCGTATCGTAAACACAATCGGCCATGCCACAGTGTTGCGCAGTTCCGATATTTTCGGAAAAAAGGAGGACATATTTTTTCTTAGCTCCGCTTTTAAATAACTGACATTCATTGACACGTAACTCATATTTGCCATAATAAATCTGAGTTATTACCAAATATTCCTAACATTACTTTAATTTAATTTGACATTTCGGAGACCTCACGCTACACAGGCGCCTCTAGCGGCGGATTCATACGCAATAGCCCTTAGTACTTTGAATGCAGAGATTTGGTGATTCCCAATTAGGAAATTGGAATTGTAACTTGATACATGGATGACGACTTTATATATTTTGGTAGTAGTTCAGATGTGCCGATGGTTTAAAATCTGCACAAGGTGTTGGAGTCTGATCCAGAACCCTCCAGAGTATCACACGTTAATTGGAGACCTTGGTTTGCGTGTTATAGTCTCTCGAGATAACTTCTAGTATTAGACTTAAGACTGCGCGCCGGGCATATCCCATCCAACAAAGAAATTCTACCACCTGGTGGGAAGTCTAAACTGTTACTTTATGACCACGTGGAAAAACAGACGATTCATTAATGTGGGAGTGTGCCCTGAATGCAGAGCCCAGAGGGAGAATGTTGGGGAGTGCTGATTCTCGTTTGAATGGGCAATTCAACAGATGGTTGGTAATACCCAGTATGACAACGCAATTAAATTACACAATTCCTTAGAGGGGCCATACACGTTACAACGATCGCATGGACCGTCGCACGGACTTCGGTCACATGCGACTAGTTCGATCATGAATGAATTGGTCGTAGTCGTAGAGCGGACTGAACGATCATGTTGCCGGTTCGTTGAAATACTTATCGTACAGTGGTTCGATCGATGGTCTGTGCGACTGTTTCAACGTGAATGGTCCCTTTTAACCCTTGAATTTGTCTGTTGAATAGTGTCTGAAAGTGATTCATTTTCCTCAAGCGATTGAACCTTTAATGACTATGTGCTTCGACTACACAGATATAAAAACAGAAAAAAGACAAAAAAACTTGCCTGACTCAATGTGGATCTTCATCATCAACCCAAATATCCCTAATACTGGGTTTCATGTCTTCAATGAATGGAAGAGGGAGATTGAGCCATGACCATCCACGCAAGCCCAGTGCTTATGCAACCAGGCAGGGCCAACGACTTTGACGGAGCAGCTCGAGATAAAACATTATAGCTACCCATCTGATGACTGGTGATAGATATAGATATCTTAACGCGCCGGCGCCACTAAGCTCCTCCAACATTAAGGATCCTACCACAAAATATAAAAAGCCCCGCACGCTATCTTATGTACGTACCTGCCTTGTTTATGGACGTTTTATTTATTTGTGGCACTGTGACATTAGCTACGCCGTTACGTGGACATTGCGTAAGGGCGTGGCTGCCATCCATTAAAGTTCTGCTGCCGGACAATTCTCTATACTGCAACCCCAAAATATCAAAGATCTGGCAAGAGAGGGGGGAGGAGTCTGACATAAGCCTGTCACCTCCTAACCCAGTGGCGGGCGAGGGATGGGCATTTCACCCGGTTAAAAAAGGCCTGCCTTCCATCCCCTCATTTGTTTTGGTTTTAAGGACGTCTAGTTTTCATTTCAGAAAGCGTTCGGGTAGTACTCGGTACATATTTTATTTGTTACATCAAATCTGTAAATTACAATAAACTTATTAATAAATAAGGCGAAGGTAATGTAATGTTGTTTTTATAAAAAGGTGCAATATTTTTGAGGGATATGCGGGCGAAAAGGGGAACATCTCAATTTTCCCAAAATGTCCAGAGTTTATTTATGTCAGGCGTCGGCAATTAATGGTATTATGTAATAAAGGTACCTAATTAGGTAGGTAAATCGAGATTCTTGGTTCAAGGTACTTTTTATAAAATTCACTCTTAAAATATCTGGACGTTTCTTACCTAAACGACCGACGCGACCGTGAAAAATTATTAAAAGTAGTATTTACTCATACAAACCACGATCCGCGTTGCATATTTAATATACAAATAACGCCGCGGGTCGTGGTCAACCTAAGTAAGTATACCGATTTCACTTCATAAAATTAGAGGATGGCTGTAGTAATTTAATTTGAACATTTGTTTTTTAGTCTATACTTTTAAACACATAAAACAGCTTATAACGCTGTCCACCATGATTGTGACGTCACAAAATTTGTAAACAACTGAACGTCATTGTCTTGTTACTGTGGTTTCTTTCGTTGGACTAAAATATATCTAAAAGCTCATAGGTATATCTTGTAAAAAAGTTTCCGTTTATTTATTTTGTTGACTAAACTAATGCTGGACGCCGGATTTGTCAAAGCAGAAACGATATAACTCTTAGACTTAGTACATTCATAACCCTAAAAATTGTATTTTAAACTTTAAATATTATTCAATCAGTACTTACAACGAAGTGATCTTTGCAAAAAGAAATGACTTTCAGCAAGTTTTAGGCCGTATACAGAAAGAAAGCCGAAAGCCGATCGGCGCCGATCAGCGCCGATCGGCGCTTATCGGCGCTGATCCTTTTTCTATGGACCGGCGCCGATCGGCGCTGATAGGCGCCGATAAGCGCCGACACGCGCTGGTCCGAATGATAAATAATTTGTATTTGAATTATTATCCTTAGATTAAATCAATCTAAGATATAATCTTTTTATAAATCTAATAACTTTATCTTTTATTAACTAAGCGCTAAAATTATTTGTTTCGTACTTACCGAATGGTGACAACAAGTCTTTCAGAAATCAGAAATCAATATATCTTTATTCAAATTGGATGTATAGTACAACTCTTCTGAATCGTCCAAAAATTTTTTTTCCCTACCACACGTTATGGACATATTTTTTAGCTGCGGAGAAAAACGAGCGAAAAAAACTCCACAACATTAAAAGTCTAATGTAACAACATTTACAAATCATTATGTTGTTACAACGTCAATACAATTATGATTTATTTAATATAGAAAACCTGTTGGAATGATTGGAACAGTTCAAACCCAAGCATTTTTGTCTGTAATATAATCAGACACTTTGTAATAAGCTTTTTTAATAAGTGTTTTTTTTTATAATATCTTTAAATTTATTTATGGCTAACTCTTGGATATTGCTTGGGACTTTATTGTATAAGCGAACAACATTTTGGCGAACAACTTTCTTCTGGAAGGATTGGTTGTTTATGCCAATTGTACCAATTTTTCATCAAACGGCTTTTCACTAAATCCAAAATGTAATAAAATGTTTCTTGAATCATTCTTGTATATGTATAAAATCTTTGTTCATCAAATTTATTTTTTTTTACAAATAAATGATGGTATTCTCCGAAACGTTTCCTTTCTCTATTTATAGGATGTATAGCTGTTTTTCGCATTTTTAAATAAACATTTTCTAACAAAACCAAATCATCGTCCGATGAGTCCGACATTTTGCTTGATCTGCTTTAATCGGCTTCCTTTATGTAGGAAGGATCGGCGCCGATAAGCGCCGATCGGCTTTCTTTCTGTATACGGCCTTAGACATGTGTTCATGTTTAAGTCTTTAACGATGTGTTACTACATTCTCGTATAATACAATCATAATAATTACTATATTTTTCATGAAATCATGGTTTTATAATATAAACTCAGATAGTTTATTTTCTACGTGCTTGGGAGTGTTTGTTTACAAATGTTTTGAAATCTTAGCATACATAAAGCTATAGACTAAAATGGCCAACAGCTTTTTGTATGTCCATGAAAAATCTATTTTAAAATATAAGTTTTGGAGCTTACTCAAAAAAAAATACAATACATTTTTTTATTGGTGTAATAAAACAATTATTAAACCATTTAAAACATATTTCCAAAACTAGCCTATTTGACAACAGTATATCCTTGTCAGTCTATACAGAATGAATAGCAGAGGCTGCTGTTAAATTTAGTTTTAAGTTTAGAGAATCATGCCTGAGTCGACACCCACCAGTGTCTGTCTGATGGTAAATATCTACCACTGCATGGCAATGTAGTGTCTTCTTTAAAAATTCTATGTTATATCTTCCTTTTTTAAATAAACAAAATACTCATTTTAATTGGTATCACCTATCCTTCATTTCACTCAGAAAAAAATACGTAGATCTACGGACTTTTCATATGCAAATTCTACTAATTCTATGTAATTTTCTCATAAGGCCTATGCCTTTTTCAAAATTCGAGTTGTCAACACAGCTGGAAAGGTCCATGATGCTAGAGTGACTGGGAATAACAGCGCAAGACTTATGGCACACTATGGCATGACTTGTATTGGCAAGTTTATCACAAACCCTAATTTATTATATCATTTCAATAATTAGTTTAAGATTTAAATCGCTATCTACTGATTCACGTGGAACTAGCTACTAAAACGCAGTAGTGCCATTTTGACACACGGAAAATTAATATTGTACAGTATTGTTCAATCAAATAAATTAAAAACTATGATTCAAAACTTTTTTAATTTAAACCATTAGACCCCACCACAGCTCTCCTCTCATCAAGTATAAGTGGAGTCCAGAAAGAAAGACAGGTAATGTGGCTGAAAAGTGAACCACTCAAGTTGTTATCCTGTGAATCCCTGAAACTTTACTAACATATCACCAAAAGGTATATCTACTGCTCTGTCTGGTGGAGATTATCACTGTGGAGTCCTGAAAACCTTACTCACTTTAGGAACACAACACACAAGAATGTTGTTAAATTAATGCATAATACAATAAGGTGGATTACTTCACTCGAAAGATGCTCCAATTCAAAATTTTACCTTTGATAAAGTATTTCTGCTTGATTTTAAAGTGGCACTTTATTTTTGATAGTAAAATAGCTTTTGGTTATTTCTTTAATGCAAGTTCTTTTTAACAATATAGATCGGAAAGTGCTTCAGTAACTTGGCGTCGGGTGGTATTTAAGTGTAGCTATCAAAGGGAAGTTTAAATAAACTTAAGTTTTTAACGACACGGCTGGCACCTTCACGGTGACTATGAATAGATTCATTCAATCCAAAATTTAATCTGTCATCCAGTAGAAATAGAAGAAAAGCAAAATTAAAGTGCATAGATAACTTCATACTATATTATGTACATTTAGTTTTATATAAAATTTGACAGCAATCAACAAGGGGGTCTGCAATAATGCTCCATTTTTAGTATATATATACAGTGCGGTTCACTCATACTTGAGGTAGGACTTGGTGTCGAGTGTGTTGGGCGGATGCGGATGAGGCGGTGGGTGCGCGGGCGCGGAGCCGGGGCCGGAGGCGGCGGGCGCGGGGGCGGGCGCAGGCGCGGGCCAGTCTCCCGCCCAGTTGAATACGCGCGCGCCGCCCTCCACCAGCCCCCAGCCCAGCAGCTGCGACCCGCGCGCGTCGCGCTCGCGCTTCGGCGACGCCGTCGATATGTTCACCGACACGCCCTTGATGATGTGGTCCTGCCCGCACAGCGACTGCGCCACCTCCGGGTCCAAGAACGTCACGAAGCTGAACGCGCGGAACGGCCGCGGAACGAACACGTCTGTCACTTGGCCGAACGCACCGAAGTACTCTCGAAGGTCGTCGGCGGTGAGGCTCTCGGTGCACCGGCCCACGAACACCTTGCGGTGCGCGGTGGCTCCGCCGTCCTTGCCGTTGGGAATCCGAACGTCGCACCATCGCCCGTCGATCATGTGTCGCCGCCCGAGCGCGCGCACCTGCGCCTCGTATTCGGAGAATTTGATGAATCCGAAGCCTTTGGATAGCCCCGTTTTAACGTCGCGTTTCACTTGCACCATGAGCAACTCCCCGAAGGTGGAAAAGTAGTCGCGGACCGCTTCCTCTCCCGTTTTCCACGGCAGGCCGAGCACTATGAGGTCGGAGCAGCGCGGCCTCGGGGACGAGGCGGGCTCGGCGCGGGGGAAGGCGCACCAGTAGCGGTGAGCGGCCCAGCCCTCGGCCGGCGGAGACAGGCGCTCGTCGGTCTGGCGCACGCCTCGTAAGCGCCCGCCGGCGCGATACTTGAGACCGCTGGCTCCCGCGAACTGGGCGGCGACGGTGCTCAGCAGCAACGTCCCGTCCTCTTCTGTCGGCAATTCGATGGGCTCATCTTGCTCGCCCTCGCTCACCGGAACGTATTCTATCGACATTTCGTTCACCCCCCGACACGCACTCTTTCATTCCTCATTTCGTTTACATTATAGTCTCGATGACAAAGAAGTAACAGTCTTTTCGACTGAATTCTTACGAATCACATATAATCATGTACTATTTTCGACTTTTTTCTGTCCTTCTTTCGTCCACTTGGCATACGCGTGACGTAAAGTACAAACGTGACATCTCTGCTTGCTTGTCATTGTCAATGTCAGCCAAGTGTCATTTACTTTTTCTAATATGGGAAGGGTAAGGGTATTAAACCCATTCGGCCAAGTTATTTTCTTCTTTCTTGTGCTATGAGCTAATAGTACGTAATCATTTAACTATTGTTTTCATATCCTTGTTATGCCACATAGTTACTGCTTTTGTTAACCGTATAATTAGAATCATGATCAACCTATATATTAATTAATTCTTTGATAATTCACAACTGACACTGGTGTCGATTCTGGCATGATTCTTCTTTCTCTACTCATTCTGTATAGAGAATGGCAAGGACACACTGTTGTCAAGTTTAGGTTTAGAGAATTATGCCAGTATCGAAACCACTATATCGAGATGTCGACCGACAGACCAAGGCGATGACCCACCTTCACACTGAACATTGACTCTCAGTCGCGTGCACACACACAAACCACTGTGGGTCCAATTCTGGGGTGTTTTAGCCTACGTTAAAGATTCTGCCCCAGAAATTGACGGTATACCATATTCTTTTCTCACTCATTTAAGCGATTCTATCCATCTTTATTTAAGATCAATTAATTCCATTATGATTTCTGGCAATGTTCCTACTTCGTGATAATTACAAGAAGTAATTGCTATTTTAAAACCAAATAAGCCTCCTTCTGATGCCAATTTATACAGACCAATAACCTTCTCATCCGTTCTTACTAAATTAACCGAACATCTAATAAAAAATCGATTGGAATGGTTTGAAGAAACTAATGAATTTTTTGCTCCGAACCAATACGGTTCTAAGTGAGTAAGGGACGAAGTACTATGGATAGTCTTGCTTGGTATATTTACTACCGATATAAGATTATACTTTTTAACAATGAATCAACACTTGCAGCTTTCTTAGATATAAATGCTACTTATCAAAACGTCGATCTGCACATATTAAAGTCGAAACTCCTAAAGCTAAAGGTTCCTCTTTTGTTTTCTAATTATATTATTAATTACTTGTCTGGTAGAGTGATTACAATGAGGGCTATCGCGTATGAATCCGCCGCTAGAGGCGCTAGTGTAGCGTGAGGTCTCCGAAATGTCAAATGTTATTGCTTGTTGGTTGACTACGCGGGTTTATTTCTTATTAAAATAATGTTGTGAATAATTGGTAACAATTCGGCTTAATTATGGCAAATATGAGTTATTTGGCAATGAATGTCAGTTATTAAAAATTTTAGCTTAGAAAAATTATTATGTTTCCATTTTTTCCGAATAAAACCGAACTGGGCGTCACTGTGGCATGGCCTACTATGTTTAGGATATGTTTCTTTTGTGTTAAAATACATTTCATGTGCGTATTAATAAACTTTAAAAGTTACAATTTAGGACCTTACTCAACAGTGGCGCCATCTGGTGAGACAGAAAACGGTTCAAACTCATTGATACGGGCGATTCAAACTATAAAACTAGAACTTTATTAAAGGGTTTACCCCAGGGATGTGTTATAAGCCTTATCTTGTATAACATTTATATACATGACCTAGATAAAGCTATTCAAAATTCATTTACTCATTGTAACAATGTGTCGGTATTACAATATGCAGACGAATTATTTTTATAGTTTTCGGGACGATGAATTTTAGAAATAAGTGATATTTTAAGTAGAGCGTTGTCCAAACTAAAAATTTGGTAAGATTTTAACGCTCTTAAGCTCTTCGTGTCAAAATATACAGAAGTGTTATTTTCTAGAATGCGTCTGTTTCCCTATAGTAACCGTCCGGGTGGAGTGTGGTTTAGTGAAACGATAATACACGTTTATATGGTTATACTTTATTTCAAAAACTTAAAGGTAACACACGAGCGCGGGAAAATCATAGCACCGTGCGTGGCTTTACGTTAACGAGTCCCGGCCAATGACTGACTCGTATCGCGCATTCGTTGGCGCAAGTGACGCTACCCGAAAAGTCCCCCCGCACGTCCTTTCAACGGTCAATGTCTTTTCTTTGCGCCGCGCCGGAATAACGACAATAAACCTATCCCGGTATATAACGAAACAGTTTTAAATATCATGAGATGCTTAACAGGTGTTTGATGGGGTGGCCACCCATATAAACTTTGAAACTTCTTTACAACGCTCTTTTAGACTATGGAAGACAAGAAAGTCTTAAGCCATGTAATGCTGTTGGGCTTAAAAAGCTGGGATACAGTCTAAATCTCTTCGCTTAATAGCCGGTGCAATGAAATGTAGCCCTATCAATGCTTTACAAGTTGAATGTGTCAACCCTCCTGTGCGACTTCGTCGTCAATGGTGCCAATTCTGGCGTGATTCTCTAAACTTAAAACTAAATTTGACATCAGTCTCTCCTTTTCATTCTGTATAGAGAATGACAAGGATATACTGCTGTCACACCGACACCAATATCTTTCTGGCAAGTTTTTGTTCAGTTCTTTGCAATTTGCTAAGCATCCCTTCATTCCAAATTATCTAATTTTTCACACATAGTATCACTATTTTCTTACTGGAGGCTTAAATCACTACCTTGTTTAGTTGTAAGTTTTCGTATATTTTCCTCCCTGCATTACCCTACTCACATCTCTCAACGTCTGTATATTTTTTCTGCAGACTATGAAGCTTTAACTGTTGTTTCTAAAATTTATTTCACTTTAGATATATCTCGGTCCATTTATTCTGCAAATATTGATTTTAATATAATCATAGATGGAGACTGGCCAGATCGACATTACATTTATAGCGATGCATCTAAAAACTGTTCCTCAGGCCTCATTGTTGTTGGAGTTTATCATCAACAATCAAAAATTGTCCAAAATATTAAACTACCGCCTGAAACTTCTGTTTTTACTGATGGATGCTACGGATTATTTAAAGCTTTAAAATATATGAATCTGATGAAATTGCACGAAATCGTTATATTTTCAGATTCTAAAAGCGCGTTTCAAACACTTCAATAATTTCCTTTTTAATATACCAATCATCCTGTTATTATAGATTGTAGAAAATTGCTCTGGCAATGTAATTTAAAAGGTTTCGATTTTGCCTGGATACCTTGACTAAGTATGTATAGGCATTTCTGGTAATAAAATTGCTGATAATCTTGCCAATGATGCTGTGGATTGTGACGATATTTATCCATACAACACATTTGACAATAACATTTCGGACTCACAAACGTGACGAATTCGATATTGGTTCGTGTTAAGGGTACGGTAAATACTTTGTATGTTCTATGAAATATGATATTAATTTTTATGTATTTCAAATTTTATCCTGAAACATAATATTAAACTTTAAATATGTAAATAATTACCTGATCCTTTCCTAAAACAAACCGTTTTTTTATCCTGTTTCCCTACCTTTACATTCGTATGTGGCTGACGCACAAACCGTGCAGGCTATAAAAGAAAACAAATTATGTATGGATTCAGAATCCTTTGCCCGTCTTAACAGGGAGTAACAAAAAAAAGAGATTCCCAAAACAAGCGCGAGAAATAAACAGTGTAGTTAAAGCAGGGTGGCCATAGTGGCCGCAGGCAACCTGCTTAAACTTATTTCTCGCGCTTGTTTTCTGAGTCTGAATCTGAATCTGAGTGCACTCTGGCCGCACCCGTACCCTTACAGTAGTCGCGTATTTTTTTTTTTTTTTTTATTTATTTATTGCACTCATGTGGTTATTACAGATGTTACATAAGGATTAGATACAGACACATGAACCCTGAAAGGGTATAGCAATTTAATTTAAAATGTCCTTAATTAAATAATATTAATAATCTACTTCAATTAAATTTAATTAAAATTAACTTGAACATAATTATTAACTAATAATTAATAACACTGATAAATAGCATTCAATAATAACAATAATAATAATTTCAAATAAAATAACATTACGTAGGAACATTAAAAAAAAACATAAAAAATAAATAAGGTCTTGCTTAAATTAACTAGGTACTATTTAAAATTGAAAAACTCTTGCATCGAATAAAAGCTGGTCTTTGATAAAAATGATTTCAGTAGTTTTTTAAATTTGACTACGTTTTTTTCGTTTTTTATATGTTCGGGAATTTTATTGTACACTTTCACGGTCATAGCAAAAGGTCCTGTGTGTACTAAATGCAATTTGGAATTTGGAGGGGCTAATCTTTGATGCGGTCTTAATCTACTTGGTCGTTCTTGTTGGGGAAAAAGATGAGTGTGTTTTCTAACAAACATACATAATTCCAAAATGTATATATTCGTAAGGGTTAGAATACCTTCACTTATGAAATATGGTCGGCAACTTGTCCTTTGATCAATATTTACTATAATTCTGAGGCAGCGCTTTTGGAGTATAAATAATTTTGAAATATCTACGCTATTTCCCCACAAGACAATGCCGTACTGGAGCCACGCATTAGCGTACGCATAATATGCATTCAGGGCGGTCTGTTTGTCGGTGGACCTTTTTAATTCATAGAGCGCATACGTGAACCTTGACAATTTTGTAGCTATTTTATTAATGTGATTTTTCCAGTGTATGTGAGTGTCTATTTCAAGGCCCAAAAGGGAGTAAGAGTTAACACATTCTAATTTGTGATTTTCAAATGTGAAATTTATTTTCAATTTTTGCCTTTGGTAGGGTCCGAACTGCATCAGTTTAGTTTTAGTTAAGTTAATTTTAAGGTTGTGGTCGGTCAGCCAGTTATTTATTTTTGACAGAAGTTGTTCTGTTTTATTGTTCACTTCGTCATCATTATTACACGGCATCAATACAGATACATCGTCGGCAAAAAGTGTGCATGGGCTGTCTATGATGTTAGGTAGATCATTTATATAAATTAAAAAGAGCACACAACCAAGCACGCTTCCTTGAGGTATCGATTTGAAACATTTAATTTTGCTGATTTGACTATGAAAATTTTTCCGGTAGGATCATGATGTTCTATTTCCACATATTGACTTCTGTTTTGTAAGTAGGACACAAACCAATCGTGCACCAACCCTCTAACCCCTATACCATACAACTTATTTAATAGGATGTG